GCTTATGCAGGGGGTCGGACTCAATGATCTATTGAGGTCCCTTCTGACCCTAACATCTATGAATCTATGAATGTATGACACCAATGTCCACATCATTGATGAAGATGTTAAATAGTATAGGCCCTAGGACAGAGCCTTGTGGGACACCACTGGTCACAGCGCACCAAGATAATTGGCTCCCGTCGACCACCACCCTCTGGGTCCTACCATGGAGCCAGTTCCCCAGCCAGCGGATCGTGGTGACATCAAGGCCGCAGTTAGCCAGTTTAGCCAAGAGGTGATTGTGGGATAAAAATGTTCTCCATGGTCAGGTTGTCCTCTGGCTGCCTTTTGTATGTGCTCACAGCACTGCCTCCTGAGCAGGACTCTGTATATTAATTGACTGGATTTTCATCCCTTCTAACAGAGACAAGTGCTGCTACTCCTCTGCTTCATTTTTACCATTGTAACATCTGTGAGTTACTAAGAAAAAGACGCTGCATCATTACTGAATGTCATTCTGCAGTTACAAATCTAACTGTATTGTTCTCAGCTCAATTCCCAGCAACCAGGTTACCCGAAATAAATCTTGATAAATCAATTGAAAAGGCAGATGAAGCAGACCATAATGAGTGTTGATTACATGCTTATAGTCTGTTTATTGTGACATGTTATATATCTCTATACTACAAAGCTTATTTATGATTGCTGTGCAAGAAGCCATGTGGTGTGACCAGGAATGTTTTATGGAGGGGCTGTAACATGCCTGTCATATGACAGAAGTGCTTGCTAATATCTTCAACACAGAATTTTGCATGAGAAAGAAAAGTAGAGTTTGGGAACTGGATAGATGTTACAAAAATAGGAGTCTGTATGCTCAAATACATATTGTAAATGGTACAAATATGAACATATGCAAACATTGTTTTTTAATTAAGTTCAGGTGAAATTGGATATCCTCTCATGGGTTAGATTGAATCTAGAGAATTCTTTTTATCCCACTTCAAAAAGTCTGAGATGTCATGATGCAGCTTACCTGCTTGCAGAAATGTTATTAGAGAAGGAATGTTTTTCTAGTTAAATAGTTTCTCTAGAATATGTTGCCAAATTGCATTTTTAGGGAAAATCCTAAAATGGGAAGTGATCATACATATAGCTTTCTTATTTTGGCAGGTAAAGATTAAAAGAAAATATATATATATATAAATATACATTTGTTTTAAAAATACTTTTCAGGTGTTCCAGATTGCATATGTTATCGTGAAAGCAGCGAATTCACCACGACCTGGGAACTGGATTTTGGAACGTTCACTTGATGGTGTTGACTACCAGCCATGGCAGTATTATGCTATCACGGACACAGAATGCCTGACGCGCTACAATATCCATCCCCGTCCTGGGCCTCCATCCTATGTAAAAGATGATGAAGTTATATGCACTTCATATTACTCTAAGGTTCACCCATTAGAGAATGGAGAGGTAAGATGAGGCCTATACTCCTGCCATCACCCTGGTAGAAAAATTATCTTGTTTACTTGACAAGTTCATGCCTTGTGTTGACACTGAATGCTTTTGTATGCTTGAGGGATGCTGAATTCTCTCTTTTATGTATCTGCATCAGTAGAGGTTGCCATACACCTCATTAAACACAGAGACGCATACACAGATATAATAGACAAATAGAATTGGAGAGAGAGCTGTGCGGAGCCTGGTCTCTAGTACTTGTAGACAACTTCTTTTTATTTAAGATGGGCTGCAATTCCAGTGTCAGTAAAATGAAAAATACTAGTTGAAATCCTGTCCCCACTGCAGTCCATGGAAATTTTTTTATGGAATGTATTTTCATAGTTATTACCTTTACACTCATCTTGATAATTGAGGAAAATGAAATGACAGCTGAATGTGAAGTATTTTTTTATTCAGGAAGTACCTCTGTGTGTGTGTGTGTGTGTGTGTGTCAGAGTGAAATATTTTTCTGTTAAGATACTGACTCGGTGGCATCCTCTGATTGCTTCGTCACTTCTGCATCACTCAGGTGAAATCTAAGCTCTTTTTTAAAAACCAGAATTGGTCCTGAGCTTGTGAAGCTTCTGAACTTTTAGCTTTCATTTCTTAATACTCTGTGGACATTTAACTTAAGCTATGCACTTCACTACAGCCTAAATCTTTCCCATTATTAGTGTGAAATTTATGCATCCTCCCTTGGATGATGATCCTGATTTACCTAGGAAGATGCATAGCTATCTCATTCTCACTGGGCAGCTGGTCTTTGCCAGTACCCCAATTTAGTCCAGTCTGCACTGGCAAGTAATTTTCCTAATCTGACAATGTGAAGCCTTTCTTGATCTTGATCCTCCCAGGAAAATATATAGCTCCCTCCACTGTTTTTCAGGAAAGAATCTTATGTAGATATCTCACATAGGGATTGAGCTCTGAGGGGAACTGCTAAATCAGGGCTGTCCAAACTTGCAGCCTATGGGCCTTGCATAGCCCCAAGGGCTTAAACTATGCCCCCCTGGTTCTTAGTCTAGGTGCTGCTCCTTTCGTTGTTCTCCCACTGCTTCCCCTGGAGTCTACAGGCTCTTCCTCTCTCCTTCTGATTATGCTACCTGACCCTGATCCTACCCTTGGGTACAGGGTGGAGCTGCTGGGTGAAGAACATATTGGAGGTGAGGGAGACCATAACTGGGAGCTGGAAGGCACCTGGAGTACAGTACAATGAGAGGTGAAGGGATGGGCACATGGTGTGACTCAGTGCACTGGGGGACACAGAGAGGTGTGGTGTAGCACTGTGCAGTATAGCAGGGGCACCCACAGTAGGAGGCCCATGAAGTGCAGCATGTGGCATGTGGTTGGCGGTCTGTGCCCCCCACCTATCCAGATTTGGATTTTCTTGGAATGTAGATACTTCCTATGGCAGTTTAGGATTGTAACAGTGTGAAAATGAAGGTAGTTGCCTCAGCAGAGCTCTTCTGTTCATGCTCAGAAGGCCAAAATGGAAATGCATAAGGAATTGAGACACGCAAGGGCCTTTGCAGTTGTTAAACACAATAGATTACGATTCTGTTTGGTGATATAATTTTCTAAAATTTTGTACCAGTGACTCTTGGAGGTAGATTTAGATTTGGCTTTCTTCTTCCTAGATATTTTTTCAATCTTGTGACTGAATGCCTAATAATGGATAAAACTTTACACATTTTGGTCTTTTTCATACCTGCATCTACTTTTCATTACTTTATACTTTCACAGCTTCTGGAAGTTAACATGGTACAGACAGAACTGCTATGTGCAAACTTTTCAGAATTCTTGACAACATATAGAACATTCAAATTGCCTCTTTCAAAATGCAATTGAGCAGAACTGAGAGATGAGGCAGTTGCATGAATTCTTCTATGTGGAACTGTGATTGCATGCCAATACATATGTATGATACCATGATTCCTCTGCAAATTGAAGATTTATACAAATATTTAATCAGTGGACTTATTCAAAGAATACTTAGAGAACTGTTGAATTTAAGCAAATATTTGTGAATTTCTGAATATTGTGCAGATTTGGCATTTGTTAATTTGGATATTTGTACTATAAACAAATATCAGAATAAAACTAATATAAAACAAGCATTAGAAAAACACCATGTGACTTGTCGTTAAGTCAGCCTTACACAGCTGAATTTAATATATAAACATTCCCCACAATCAGGTGCTTGTAAATAATCTGCAGACCCAAGAAATATTTGTAGAAATGATTTGGTGAATATTTTTTTGGAATGAATAAATCATAAATTGCTTAAGGACAATTTGTGAATAGTAAAATGAGCAAAGTTGGTTGAATTAGCTATTTGATTAGCTCTATTTGGAAAAAGTAAAGCGTCCAAAAAGAGGGTGATTTAAATATTTGGCTCAGTGTTACTGAAATGTTCCAACTCACTTTACATTCAGAATTCAGTGACACAAGGCATATAGGAAGAGTACAGTATTAGTTGTATCCCACTACAAAGCTGCTGTGTACCATTTGATTATTGCATGTCTCTAATATATCAATAAATAGTGAGAAAAAAAACCCTCTTTACATGTGAAAAACTTTTTATTTACAGAAAGAAGTAGGAAAAGTGTCTTCCAAGGTCTCACATGAGAGAATGTTTTTCGAATATGTCAGCAAGTGACATTTTAGTGTTCTAATGAGGGTTCCTTAATTTGTTTGGTCTCAGGCCGAAAACAAAAATGTATTTGGGATAAATATTTGGAGGACTTGCGTTCATTTTTGGTTGGGGGAGAAGGCCATCAAAATGTGAATGATCACATTTCTTTTTGCATCTGTCTTTGAACATAATACCTAGCTGGGATTGCTACTTTTGATTTCCTCAGTTCGTCATTAGTCTGAGAACTAAAAATTAATGGTTACCATAGTGATTTTTGCTTCATTTCTCTTCAAGCCTCTCTTATTTACATCTAATTTGCTCCTTTTTCTACTGCGATTGCTTTCTTGTTTTTCTAGACTACAATTAGTGTCTGAGCTTCTATTTATCTTCATTCTGTTATGTAGACATCTCTGGACATTAACTCTCTCTGCCATTTATGTTGCTGTGGACTGCTCTGAACTTTTATTTATGTTGATTTTTTTTTTAAAGGGAAGTAATGTGTCATATGCTGTAACTTTACATTTTAGTACAGGATATCCTCCCCATTTATGCTTGTTAATCTTCACTAGGTGCTGCTAAACGGAGGTGCCCCATCATCTCACTGTTACTTATTAGAGAATTTTAGATCTTTTCCCCCCAAAAAGAGACTGTAATGAAGTTTGATAAGGTGTCAAAATGGGGAAGCCATCTCTCTATGTCAGGCTAGAGAAATGTTCCCTTAGGTACAACCCTAAGATTTGTGCATAGGTTGCAGATAGAAATCTAGGGAAAAATATTTTTTCCTTTGCATTTTTTACATAAACAATTGTCCCTGTAAACAGACCTTGAAGCTCTAATCTAGTGAAGATGGCTAGAGAGAGCTCTAATGAGAGCCCATTACAAAGCCACTCAGTATCGGCACTGAAGCAGTAAGAATAACTCATCGTCCAGGAGGCAGCGTGCCTTCCTTGCAGGGCCCTCAGTTTTTGGCAGCTCGATGAAACTTAAAAAGCAATGGTAGAATTTGAATTTAGATTCCTCTTCATCTGTGTTGTGTGAATCTAAACTTAAATACCCACTTGACTACCTGGTTCACATTAGTGTGATCACATAGATGATGTAGAGGAAAAAAAGCAAAAATCTTGTTCTTTTATAAAAAGGATTTAATTAATGTTGATGCACAGTAATTATGTAAACTTGCAAGAATGGGAAATCTTTCTCCGCTGTGGATACAGTCTGTCTTTATGAACTCCTGCATCAAAGTATCAGCCGCCTTCAGTAGTTTTAATAAAAATGGGAATAACTAAAAATACTCAAACTCTGCAAATGTTAGTGTATATTCCTCATTTAATAGTCAAAGGGCATTTTTACATGTGCTGCAGAGGTGTGTGGGGGGAAGGGTTTTAATTACAGCGACTCCAAGAGCCCACAGTGTCTAATGTAACAAGGTCCACAGTACCTCATGTATCAGTGTCCCCATACTTCAAAATGGTGGTGGAGGTGTTTTAACTAAAACTCATTTGATGAGCTTTAATTAAAGCATCCCCACTGCCATTTTGAATGCAAGGATGCTGATACACAAGATGTGGAGACTGCTGGAGTGTGCTAATTACAGTACATTGGAGCAGTGTCCTTGCACATCTACAGACACCCAAAAAGATTTAATGTGAGGATGGAAAGACCATGAAATCAGTGAATATAAAAATGGCTTTACCTTGGAAGAGGGATTGGTGAAATGGTTTCAACTTGGAAAGAGGGCCAGGCCATTGGAAAGAGAGAGAACAGCTGGGAATCATGAATCAAGTTATTGTTGAGTTTTATTCTTAAAGCTGTCTTGTCACTTCTTCCTGTAAGTGTGAACATTCGAGTCCAGGCTTTTGCTGTGGGGAAATCAGACTCAGGCCATGCACACACATTTAAATAATCTGGGAGAATTCTCCCAGACTTGTTTTCCTGCTAGAGAAATTTACCCAGAGCTGTCTGTACAGACATTCAAATGATGAGGTCTTGAAGAGTGGAGAGCTTGCAGGACTGACACTGCAACTATGGGAGCCCCCTGGTGTACACATCTCAGTGAGCTCTGCAGATTTCCATAGTCTGCCTGGTGAGAGATGACAGCAGTACATAGGGTAACCCTGATTGGCTAACCCAGATGGCCCATGGTCAACCTGTGTTTCCCTCCAGAACAATGTGGGGATTCTGAATGAGGCATGTGCTGCTCCCTTCTGAAGCAGCAGAGTCCAGGGAGTGGCAGTTTATTTTCTTCAGGAGGAAGGGCATGGGTAAGGGTGGGATGCTGCAGGACCACTGAATGTGCAGACATTTGCTTTCCCAAGAGAAACTCTGGTTGTTCCCAGGT